ATATATATATTATATATCATGTTAAACTTCATTTTTAAGATATTAAGCAACAAATTCAGTTCGCGAAAATAGCAGAGGCGATTTTTTATAGCCTCCTTTAGGTCTCTGTAACCACAAACTTTTGATTTAGCTTTTATAACAAGACACTGTGACCTTTGCTTAAAGCAACTTTCACTGGTTTCTCTTGGTGTCAACAGTTACAGTGTCTGCCATAAATCTGACTATCGCGTGTAAGGTCTTTGCCAACTTTAATTTTGGCTGCTTAAAACTTGGCACAGTCCTTAGTCTTTTTTTTTTTTTTTTTTGGGAGGGGGTTTTGTTTTGCTGTTGTTGTTGTTTCTGTCGCATTTCCGGCTGCCTAAAGGGCAAACATCAGACAGTAGGCCGCACCGCGCATCCCTAGCCGGAGAACAACAAAACAGTTTTTCGTACAGTTTTTCGCGCTGTTTATATTTTTGTATTTTGACACGTTTTGGCATGTCGGCTGAGTTGAGTTGAGAGGGGTTTTAGAGAGCTTGTGTGTTTGTGTGTGTGTGCTTGTGTGTGTCTGACATTTTACATAAATTTAACTTGCACAGAGGAGCTGTGGAAATCGTGCCGAGGAACTGCGCAACGTTGGCAGCGAATGTTGCCAACAACAACTGCCACATGACTTGCCTGTCATGTGACACAAACGCGACAGTTTGCAAGGTCACGTCACATTAATTTGCTGACAATGATGTATTTAGAGGGCGCAGAGGATGCCATAGAAGGAATACAAAAAAAAAAAAAAAAAAAAAAAAAAAAAAAAAAAAATCAACTGCCTGACTTCTTGTCTGACATTCTTAAAGCGACGCCAATTAAGTTGCAAAATTTTAAAAATGTCCTCAACAATTATGCGACATATTTCTTAAAACATTTATCAACATTTATCTTCTCTTGCAGCATGCAATGCGCCGCACTTGCAACGTGTGAAAATCAACTCAAATAAACGAAGCCAACCGAGGATAGAGGAAAACAAAGAAAATCTAATCAAAATGCCTGCGATAAAATTACCGAAATTGAATTCGCCTCGACATTTGTCTATTGATTGTTGTTGGCCCGTGCAACATGGTCCACGCCCCGGGTGCAGCTGCTGGCATTTTGCAACAAATTATTTAAAAAGTTATTGCCCCATTCAGCGTCATGGCGTTGTTAATAACAATAAAACTTTATGCTGGCTGGCATTGACTTTGATTTTATTGAGCGGCTCCAGTGGCACTCGCACTGCTGTCGAGGCGGCAACAGCAACAACAGCTGTTGGCAATCCAGCCAGCTCGGCGGCTGTGGGCGTGGCCTCATTGGAAATTGGTAAGTAAATGAATGAGAAGAAGCGTGCAGCAGAATAACAATTGACCTGGCGAGGTTTAAAGTATAGCTTAACTTCTATTACTTCTAATCTGGAGTCTTAAGTGAGAATGAGAATGAAGTCTGCCAGTCTAAAGAATTGAGAGATAACAAAAAACAAAAGATAATGAAAGCTTCAATTTTATTTGGAATAAATACTCGTAAATTCAATTATTCGATTTTTTATTTTATTTAAATAAGTTTAATATCCTTATGAAGCTAACAAAAATATTTTCGCCTTCAGAAAACTAGATTTATATTTACAACTCTACAAAGAGTGAAGAGTTTATACTCTTCGAAAAGATTTATCAAATCGAGAATTATTATGTTTATTATTATTATCTAGCATTTTCTTCTGTCTCTCCATCTATCTCAAAGTCTGCCTCTCTATCCTCTCTCTGTGTGCCCGCCCAAGAAAAGCTAAGTAATAAGAACTATAGAAGATCATTGAAGTAGTCTATATGTATGCAGCAGTACTAGAATTCTTAAGGCAGAGAGGAGAGTTCCTATTGGCTCAACATTTGAGCGCAACTTGGGTTTTGAGAGAAAGTTCCTCTATATAAAGGGCAGCAGCTGAAGGATTTCTTCAGTCGCCCAGACTTGGTGGAGGTCAGTCGTGCAGTGCAATAAGGTGATGTGAAGTGTGTGATCGTTCAGCTAAGCATGAAAGACTTAGAGGAAATACTGATAGGAAATAGTGATAAGAAATACTGATAGGAATTACCTAAATAGAAGAAATACATAGAAGAGAATACTTAGAGGGAATAGATAGAGGAAATATTTAGAAGAACTACTTGGCGGAAATACTTATAGGAAATACTTACAAGAAATACTTAAAGGAAATACTTAGAGGAAATGCTTAGAGAAAATACTTGGAAGAAATACTTAGAGGACATATATAGAAAAAATACGTAGACAGTTGTTTCGGTGTGCCAACACATATTTTCATATACTGTTTAGTATTTAAATGTATGTATTTTTTCAGAGACCCTTTATAGATAAAGTAAAATAAATTTGTACATACAGAGGATTAATTTTAGGTCTACATTGAAAAGGAAATTTCACTAAAACTCTTGCAGCAGCTAAGCTAATCAGAGCTTCTAAGATTGCTTAGCTTACAAAAATGTATAATAAATAATATGGTTTCAAGTACAGCTCTCATAAATCTAAGTATCATTTCTGTAGCTGAATATTCATATATTATAAATAACTGCGCTATTTCTTTTAATCAAATTTACTACGTTTACATCAAATAACAAAATCCATCAGAGTTATTAAAAGTGTAATAAATTCAGTGTCGAATTAATTTTATAATTTTTTCCTTTGTACTCCAGCACCATATCATATCGTAAATAAATAAAAAACGACATCAATATAAAAATTTGTTCATTTTTTAGGAAATCTAAAACGATTCATTTTGCATTTCTTTTATTAAATATTCATCAGAAATGCACAATTTTCAATATATGCAACACGAAACTTCCACATTGATACACAATTTAACCGTTTTCGACCAATTCAGATAGCCCAAACCCTAGACTCCAGGCCCCCCTATCAACTAGTTAGTTACAAACATGCCTTCTGTTCAGTTCCCATGACATGAAATTTATGCATTTTTATTTCGATCAAATACACAACAGCAGCAGCAGCAAAAGAAATGAAAAACTTGTTCGATATACATATATTAATAAAAAAAAGGTACAACGCAATATTATGGAAAATATTTTGTGCATATGTAACAAAGCGAGTTGAAAACCCAAATTTGTTGAATAGTCTAAAATTTCAACAAATACATATTGTTATATATATTTTCATATGCATTTACATAAATATAAAAATAGAAATGTATTGACTGATGAAATGGTAACATGTACACACGTTTTGTAATGCTTGAATACACATTTGGCCAAGTACGATACCACATTGCTACCCTATTCTTTGGTCAACCCTCGTTCAAGTTGAGTGCATGCTATGCAACGGCATTTTGGCATTGCACTAAATACTCTTAGACTGTGGTGGGGCGCGGGGGCAGGCACCTTTGGCCACAGTCCACATAATTTGCATTTGCATTGCAGCAATCAACATGGAAATCAATCAACCGCAAAGAGACAGAGGGGCGAACGAGAACAAGACAGCATCTAAACATTCTGAAGCTCAAGTGCTTCCCAATAGCGCAAACCGTAACTAATAACTGTTAAGCAGAGGGTGAACGGGGTGCAGTACCCGCTGCTCACTGCTCGGCACGCACTCAACCACAACCAATTACAGAAATTTACGCAAAGCGCCAGGATGCGCTGACGCTGACGACGACGACGTCGTCATTAATAAACATGAGCCTGGGCCTAGCTTAAGGCTAGGCTCAAGGCGCTGCAAAAATGATGGGTAGCTGGTTAGCTAGGGCAATGGCAGGTATACCCGCATATACAGCTACAACTATATATATATATATATTTAGGTATACACATATATATATATATAGATGTACGCACACATATTTATCTAGGTGCTGAGTGGGTCCGAGCAAATCGAAGCCGCAGCGGTGCTTTTGATAGATGACTCTGCCTGACTGGGGCTGATTTCCCACCTGCCCGACCGACCGCCCGCCTACCTACCTTCGTCTTCAACTTGAACGCTGCTCATTACCATTGCTGATTGGCTCCGTCGTGGCGCTGGCTCCCAGTGCTCACGTGTGTGTGGTCGCGTCCATCAGCCAGCCAGCCAGCTGGCATTGTTTCTTAGCCCCTTCCCCTCTTAGTTCATCCTATTCGTCTTTCAGCTGACTGTTATTGTTACCACTGCGACTCTGCAGCTTTCTGTGCCATTCGTCTGCCGAGCATAACAAATTATCTTGTTGTGGGCCTTTGGCTCGTTAGCGTCCAACTTGTTTGCCAAAGCCAAAGATATAACCAATTAAGGATCATCGAACTTAATATACACTTGAAAACTTGCAACTCAAAACGTCAATTTACTCTTCAAATTTGCATAGCTGCAAAATTAATCCTTAATCCTTTTGTCATAAATATTGTAGCTATTGAGGTCTATAAGATCCCAATTTATTTTCCATAATTCTATAAGCCTATAATTTACATTTCTTTATTTTTCATTTTATTTCTTTTTTATATATTTCATTTAAATAATTTAGCAAATAACCAATTTCTGTTTTCGTTTTAGTTTAATTTGAAAATCAATTGTATTTTTTATTTTATTTTATTTTATTTTTTTTATTGTACTCAAATGATTTTTTATGCTAACTAAAAGACTTTCAATAAATATATTCCATCAATATATAAAATTAATAAATACATATAAATAACTCTTCTACAATATCTTGGGGCAATTAAGAAATATAAATTTCTTTTATTTATTGCTTGAACAATTTTGCTCAACTCACATAATTGGCAAAAATATTTTACTGAAAATCATCTTTGAATGCATAAGGGTGATTTATTTTTCTTCTCGCAATTTGATGACATATTTTTAAAAATAATTCTTCATTTGCTCAACAAATCCACTTTACCACTTGTTTACAATAATATTTGTTTTATTTAGGGCTAATAACTTGAATAGAGGCTGTACAAATAACTTAATACATTTTCTGTTGTATCAAATCTTAACTTCAAGTAACTCAAAGAGTTTAATCAATTCATTTTGTTTGAATATGTATCCCATTGGCCTTTACACTTATTTATTTATATGGTATTTTCTTGGAATTTTATACTCTACATTTCAAGTATATATATATATATCGAAATTTTATTTTAAAGCATTCACTTAACATTTTAAAATGAAATTAATAAAAATTCAATCAAGTTTCCTCTCTCAGATTATACTTACTCTACATATTTTTTCTTTATCCACATAGCTAAAGCACCTTGAAAAGCATAGTGTATAAACCAGGCCAGTTCGGTAGCAGGAAATGAATGAAGCTGAATGAAAATCATGTAGTCGTTGGTTTGGTTATTCGGTCAGTCAGTCGTTCGGTTTGCTTTGCTCGATTCCGAATCACTTGGCTGCGTCTGTATGTTTGTATCTGCAGCATTTATTTAAATGCGTAAATATCTGCATGTCCGACATATTTCATTTAACCGTAGGCGCGTTGAAATGTTGCTCAAATTGCTTCGCGGCAACCAAATAAAAAATGACCACAGCACATAAACTACTTCGCTCTCTGTCTGTCTTTGTCTCTGTCTTTATATACATATATTTAAATTAAAATATTTAAAGTGTTGCTGCTGCTGCTGCTTTATAAATGCTTCTCTTTACTGGCATTGGAAATTGAATGTTCTGTCGCAAAAGGATGTGGCTATATAGCTCTTGATCCGCCTCAATGATATATGCATGACAGTTAACAAAATCAGTTCGAGATTTAAATTATTTAAGGCATGCAAGTATCAGCATAGTTTAGAAATGTTTAACAAAAACTTTATGGGTATTTCTGATATCGAATTCAATAAAACGAAAATTCAAACAATCAAGGGTCAAGTTTTAAAAAATTTTCAAGTATACAAAATTTTATTTTTTGAGTTTCTTTATAAAATTATTTTAAAAGGAAATCAATATAGAAACAAGTAGAAAAGATAATTAAAATATATTATATATATTTGTATTCTTTCTTTAATTTGTTCTGTTATGCCCATATTGATTTATTAAAAGATTATAACTGCAATAAATATATGTATTTTTCTTAAAATATTTAAAATTTTCACACATTGACATTTGATTGAATTCATTTTTAAGGACTAACTGGCAGAGCTAAACAAAAAAAAAATACAAAATTTATTATGTGTTTGATTTTCTAGAGTTTCGATTTTTAACTTTTAATTTTTGTTAATTTATTTATATACAAATTTATTTAATTATTTTTTGGCATTATTATATTTAAGATATTTTTAGCTTAACAAATTTATATATTTTTTTACACTTTCATTTTATTTAATTAAGTTCCATTGCCTTCTTTCATCTAA